CATGTCGACAGCTTCCTCCTCATCCCCATCCCAAGGGCATCGCACTGGCTAGCCATGGCACCATAAGGAAGGGGTGAAGTTGAGATGGATGTCCCAGCCACTTGACCAGCTACATGGAGTGCCTGTGACAAAAGCATATGAAGGTGCAAAAATTTCCCTTGCAGAATCCAGTAATTCATTCGTCACAAATATGTGGAAGGGCAAAATTTTCACAAGACCCCCATGATCTTTTGAAGCGTTTGGCTCACAAACTATCTTAAACTTTGTCAATTAAAGAAAAGCCCAATGAACATAGTAAAACAAGTTGGGGTTTTCTCTACTTTATAAAGTTAAGGGGGTTTGTGAAAAACACCCCGAAGCTCAGGGGTATTTATGCTAGTGACCTAGCTGCAACTATTTATTGCTTCAGACACAATTTTAAAGCGCAGATCCAGAGAATTTAGCTGAACGCGTGAAGAGGTAAAATACTGAAGTCAGCATTTCTCCTGTAATATGTGCTTAGTGCTTCCCCATTAAAAAGTGACAAAAAGGATCTTGCAGAAAGTCTGCAGGGACATACTTCTGCCTTACATAGGCTGACCAATAACAATCTGATACAGATATCATCAAAATGAATCCATACTTGTCAAAACCTCTTGCATATATAACATTCATTAGGTTTTATTGGACGTGTTTTTTGGGTTTATAGACGTATATCAAAGGATATACCTACTTGTAAAGTTCTGTAAATATGTATATTCGGCTCCGTAAAAGAACACACTAAGCTAGACTTGAAATCATCTAAAAGTGAAGCTAAGAGGCGGTCATGAAGGTTTGATCAGTTGACCCACTGTCTGAAGTGCACCCAGCAGAAAGTTACTAGCTTGGTGACAATGGTAAATGACAGAGCAATAAGATTTCTCCCGACAGAATTCTAAATCATAGATCAAATGATGGGCATGGGTTAACTGTTTAAATAAAAGAGAATTGTCATCTACTTTGCATTTTCTTTTGGAAAAATTGGCCCTAAAAAATTACATAAAAGACGATACAAGATATAAGTCCAGAGATGTTAAGTAAGCATACCGATTCCAGCAGCTGGCCTACACTGATTACTGGGGACAAGGGTGGTTTTGTCGGAATCCTGGAGACAAACCTTGGAATATCAGTGCCAAATGATTCACTGGCAATTTCCCCATCCACTGAAGAAACCCTTGATGATCCCTGAAGATTAATTAGAAGTTGAGCTCAAGTTTTAGTAATATGGCTTGAGTGTAGCAATTCATTCCAGCCTTATTTTATGTGTAGCAATTCAAATCGTCTCTAAACAGTAGATTAAGCTGTGTAAACAAAGCCAACTCTTCTGAAAGACCTTTAGTTAAGTTCAATGCAACTAAATTGCAAGTAAGGTTTTTTTCGTTCCTAGTTCAACGTAATTGGTAATAAGAGCAATGACACACGCTGCATGCACACGTACAAACACAAAGGTCGTAGGAATAATAAAAACAGAGCTCAATTAACATTATTTCTGCAGGCAAAAGAACCAATTTTACGACTAACTAGGTTCCAAGCATTTTAATCAAGTATTGGGTCTCAAAAAACCTTATTCAGTTACACTGTCCAATTTGCCCATCAGATTATATTTGATAGGTGTCCATCCACCTCTTACAAGGATATGCAAAAAATTCAGAGTGTTTTGGTGGGGCTTATTTGTGGTCAAAGCAGCTTTTAAGTTAGCTTTGTCATATCTACCTTTTTGGTGACATTCCAAATAAGCTAGCTTTCAAGCTCCAGTTTAAAAAGTTAGGATTTTCTAGCTTTTGAAAAACTATCATATAAGCTTATTTTAATAATCTAGGTTTCATCAAGTAAATGATTATTTTCTGTTTATCCTTACAAGTTTTTATGAATTTAGGCTAAATTGCACTTAAATGCCCTAAAGTTTCACTAACCTTGCATTTAAGTGATTCCTATTTTTAAACCGATCAAAAAAAAATGCCCCAAAGTATTTAAATGTTGCAGATGAATACCCCATAATGAAAAAAAAATCCAGAACCGTTAACGTTTCTCTACATATCCAAGAATATCGCATAACAGAGGGTACTGAAGTGAAACTTTTAGAAACTATAGAGTATTTAAGTGAAGTCATTCACAAACCGAGGATATTTATATGCAACATTGGGTAAACAAGGGGCACTAACGTGTAACATTGGGTAAACAAGAGGTACCAACGTGCAACATTTTGATACTGGAGCATTTATCTGCAACACTTAAATACTTTGGGGCATATAAGTACACAGTTTTAAAATAGAGGTCACTTAGTGCAAGATTAGGGAAACTTTGGGGTGCAATTTAACGTAAATTTTATCGCAAAATTCAAAAGCCAAAAAAAAAAGATAACATCACTTAGAACTTCTAAATATAAGCCTTCCCAAAGACCCTCTCAAGCTTCTGGACAAGATTACAATTATGACCTGGGAAGCAAAAGGGACCAACATTCAACAAGTGTTATGCACTTATGAACCTTACAGATTCTATATCTGCTACAATTTGGGTTCATTAAAAAAACAGCATCTGATTGTCTTCAATGAGTTATTGCTTTTTCGTGAGAAAGACGCACATAGAAGAATTAATGAGGAACCTAGAAAATGAATAGTAAACTAAAAGACCATGACTGAAGATAATATGCCATGCCTTGCACAAGGAATTTTGCCAGGAGTTAAACATTCCTCCCTCATAACAATTAATCTTCTCATTCATTGGAATTATCATTTATCCTACATCTCCCTAGCACAGCCAAAATGGATATATTGCTCTCCACTATGGTTCTGAAAAATAGTAAGGTGTTTAAATATTATTAGCTATGTAGGGAAATATTTATCATTCACCTGAATAATGTCCCAGTGCTACTTCGGAATATTTATCATTCACATGTTTTACATTGTGCATACCTCATCTAATGAAAGGGATTCTTCAGATGTTCCAAGTGCTTGAAAGGAACCCCAGTCACGGGCATTGATTGAACCAAACAGGGGTCCATCTTCAGGTATGAACATTTCTGAAAGTTTCTGAGCTAATTCATCTTTCTCCAGCTGAAGTAAAAGAACCAATAAGAACTGTAGTCACTTTTGCTTCCACAAAACTATCTTAATTTTTTTTATGGAAGTTCACATCTTAATGGAAAGCAAAACCTAGTTTAGCAATGCCAATCACTCACATTGGTTAAACTAGAAAGATCTCGAATTATAATATCAAGTAGATAGCGTCCAGATTCAACCATCATCTGTTGAAAGTCAGATAGCAAGGATTTCGCTGCTTGTTGATCAATTTCAGAACCAAAGTTTTTAATATCAGCCTGAGGCCTGATGTATATTTGCAAGTCATCACCAATCCTTAAATATGGGTCTGCCTGAAAAGTTAACACATTCAAGGTAATTAAAAACACAAAATAAGATACTCGTTATATGCAAGATTTCACGACTTTAAGCTAACAAATGGACAAATAGCAGCGTGTGAGTCAATCCCTTAACGTTCCTACTATGAGAACTCACATTCGAGGATATCAAAAACTTCAGGGTATTTGTCAAATCAGCCATGTGGTAGTTTTTTCCTGCAAAGGCTAGCATGCTTGATGCTAGTGTAAAAAGTGACCTCCGGCATGAAGGATGCAATATTCCTGTTGAAATACAGAGCATAAGTACTCAATATGGTAGTACATTGAAGCTAATAGACTACAGAACTTTCAGAAAGTCATACAAGACATAATACATAAAATAGATACTAATGGTTGACAAATGTCTTACCTGTTGGGTCAAGGGCAGCATTCATAAGAGATAATGGAAGCTGAAATATGCGTATAGTATTGCATTGATTCAAATTCTGAAATGTGCAAATACAGTGTCAGCAATAAATAGTGCAACGCTACATAAAAAGTTCACAATGCACAATTGCGAAGCAGAAAACAGAAACTGAATATAAACAGTCAGGAGATCAACTCTGAACAATTTGGAGCGTCCCATGATAAAACAAAATTGTATAAGATATCAAATAAAAAACCGCTGTTTAAACCATCATTGCAGCATATTACTGTACAGAAGATAAAAAATAAAGGGTTACAATGAAATGAACTACAATGATTTCTGCCATGAAATAAATCAACGGTTGAACAGATAAAATAAGTGGAAACCATCAAAGACTACCCTTCCAGCACAAATACAAGAGCCATTTGGTTCCCATCCTTTACGCAATTGGACATACTAAACTTGAAAGGAGATTCCCTAGTGATGGATACCAAAAATGTTCTATAACAACTAGAAAATATCTGCTGCAAGGCCTAACAACATTGCGTTTGTATCTCCATATTATGCATGCTTGTTAGGCATCAGTAACTGCAAAATGGCTCTCAATATCTCACCTTGAGACGTGAAGAAAGAATAGTCAAGCTGAATGAATGAGCTATCGCCTCAAAATCTGATGGTAAATTATCAGATCGGTTGGCTTGCAACCACAATGCAGAAAGCAGCATAGCAATTTGATCTTCAGTTAACGTAATAATGTTAGCTTCCTACAAATGTAAAAATAAAAATAAAAACATGCTCCTCCACCAAACCAGCAGAAAGATATCAAAATATGTTCAATTTAACAAACTTCAATAAGCATCAATAAAGAAATAAGCACTTACATGTTCATCAGGACTAGTGGAAACATCAGTCCTGTCAATAACAGAACATAGTTTGCGAAAACAGGGTGAAGGCTTCCGGATCCTTCCATTTTTCACCTCTTCATCACCCGTATCTTTTATGCTACTATCATCATCAACATAATTTTCAAGCTTATCTGTATTTACACATTCCTTTTCCCTTCGAAGTTTTTCGAAAAGAGCAGTAGCTGACGCAAATGCTGATGTCGATTTTGACTGCCACTTCTTATATTCATATTCAAGTTTCAGGTAAGTCTCTGATCGAACAAGGATAACTGAAAATATCTGGTGAGCTCCTATTCTCGTTTCAATATCTGGGTGCATCATAGTTTTTACAAGCTGCAATAGAAGCCCCTCTGGAAACACCTACACATCATTGGCAAATAACAGAGCATCAGACATCTGGATTACAGAAAAAAACAAGCGACGGGGAAATATGCAGCTACAGAAAAAGAGAACAGGCGACGGGGAAATATGCAGTTACAGTAAGCCTATAATGAAAAACAAATAACTATTAGTAGATGTGGGGTTCCACCTATATTTATATGACCAGTTCCTGGCAAATGCAAGTATAAATGGGATAATCATCAGCTAAGACCTTTCCATTCAAAATGTAGTCAGATATCAGCAAAAAGAAAGGTACTGAACGATTCCTAAAACATGGCAACTTAATTCCCAATAAAAACAGAAGCTATAGACCACACTTGATGTCATCCCTTCAGAAC